AACATAAAACTCTCAAAGTAGGAAAAGAAGAGTCCTGTGGATTTTAAGAACATATCCCACCATAAAGCAACATGCGTTCAAGGCCACCCTGGTCTACATAGTGAGTTCCAGGACAGCTGGACCTACAGGGAGACCCTGCTTCAAAAAGACCCCTCCCCCCCAAAAATGGCTTTTGCCTGTATGATATCATTCATAGTCTAAGTCACTCACAATTCTAGACATCAACCTGATAAGAAATAAAGTCAATGTATCAAAAAGTTTAAAAGCAGTTTATTATGTGTGTGTGTGCACATGTGCTTTTGGAGGCCGGGGTGGGGGGCAATGTATCTCTTAGACATTATCCACCTTTTTGTGTTTTTGTGTTTGTTGTGCTTTGTTTTTTGAGATAAGGTCTCCTACTGGCCTACAACTCCCAAGTGGGTTAGGCAAACGGGCCAGCAGGCTCTTGAATATACCTGTCTCTACCTTTCCAGTACTCCCAAGAGATTACAAGCACATATACCGTGCCCAGCTTTTCTTATGTGGATCTTGGAGATTAAACTCATCTCCTCATACTTGAAGACAAGTGTTTTACCAACAGCTATCTCCTCAGCCCCAGCACTTTATTATTAATGGGTAAAGTAATGCTAGAGAACAAAGCAGCATGGAAACGCCACTGAGGTCAACTTTCCTTGGGCTGTGGATGCAGCTCGGTGGAGGAGTGCTTGCTTAGCATATGGAAGGCCCTGAATTCAGTACCCAAAATTAAAACATAAAACTCTCAAAGTAGGAAAAGAAGAGTCCTGTGGATTTTAAGAACATATCCCACCATAAAGCAACATGCCAATAATATTGCAATGGAAGTTTTTACTAAATAATTTGCATTTAGGATTTTTCAAATGCTGGCGAGGATGTGGAGAAAGGGGAACGCTCATTCATCGCTGCTGGGATTGCAAACTCATGCAGCCTCTATGGAAAACAGTGTGAAGAACTCTTAAAAAACTAAAAATGAACCTACCATATGACCCAGACCACTCCTTGGCATATACCCAAAGGACTCATGCTATTATAGAGACACTTGTACAACCATGTTTGTTGCTGCTCTTTTCACAAGAGCTAAGAGATGGAAGCAACCTAAATGCCCCTCAGCTGACGAGTGGTTAATAAAAATGTGGTATATTTACACAATGGAGTTCTACTCAGCAGTAAAGAAAGATAAAATTTGCAGGTAAATGGATGTCTCTAGAAACTGTTATACTAAGTGAAGTAAAAGACTCAGAAAAATAAGAGGTATGTTCTCCCTCATATGTGGATCCTAACACCAAATCCTTTTAAATTCCATGTCCTTTTAATAAGATGATGCTGTACAGCGGTCTCTTCTGCATCAAATAAATGCCATTATCATGACTTCAGCTGTGCCTGCTTGCTAAACATCATCACAATTGGACTTGTTGACAGTTGTGCTCCTTCATTAAAGGAGAGGTAAGCAGGGTCATTGTACCCTCACTGGAGTATCTAGTCACTCTTTCCAGCCAACTGTATGTAATTTGGCCCTAATCACACACGGTCTCCTGGATTTAGGAATAAATAAAGTATATAACCTGGGGAAAGCTAGGAAGAGAAGGCTTGATCTATTCTGGGTAAAGGCTTTCCAGTGTGCATACCCTCAGGTCACTCATACACCTCAGCAACCCCTCAGTCATCTCTGTAAGTAAGCTCAGTAAACTCATTGGTTCCCCAGGAGAACCTTAATCAAACATTGGTTTGACACTAGAACCTTAGAAGGGGATAAACATTGCTTAATCTCCCTAGGAAAATAATTCTCACAACAGATGGAAAATTTATTTGTTAATGTTATTATGTCTCCTAATTACTAAAAAAGAAAACAAAAATGTAAAAGATGCTAAAAAGATATGGGAATGGAGATATTTTCCAAAATAGAAAGAAATGAGAAAGCCTAAGCAAGTGATGAAGGTCTATGTAGGTTTGTTATGATATATAAAGGATGAGACAAAAATAATATACACATAATTTAAGATTTCTAAAGTCATAGTTTAGTCAACTAGTTTAAGGAAAAAAATATATGTTTAATCAAGTTTTATCTGAGAACATTTGGGTTTTGCCCAAGGTTTATCTACACAGCACATGGTAATTAAAAGCACCAGACTGGTGGAACTAACCTTATTGAATGTTTAACAGCCGTACTTTGATACCTATACTAATCTGGTCAGAAGGACTTAAAGGACAGGTTTTGCCCCTTGCCCTCCAAGGTCGACTAAGTCCAGGGGACTATGGAAGATTCCTCAAAATGTCCTGTAACTGTGGTGAGTCACCTGTACTCTTGTTCAGGGAAGCCACGGAGACCCCATGAGATGTACTTGAACCAGTGTCTAGTCTACGAAGAGGAGGCTCAACTAAGGAAACATCTCATTCATGCTTCCAAGTGAAGCCAGACATGGTTGAGCAGGACTTTTGACTTATCTTCACATAGATGGAACTGGTTAAAGAAAGGAGCCAGGAGCTCCTCCCAAGCCCATGTTACCCTGAGGAACAGATCCTCAAATTTTTCTTTTAAAAATTCATAGTGGAGCAGATTTCTAAGTCAGACTTCAAGAACAGCATTATCAAAAAACCCAAAAAGTTCCAACACCATATTTTCCTTAGGAAATAATAAATCATATTTTAAAAATGCCTAGAGTGAATTAATTTAATAATGTTTTAAATACACAAAGTCAAGAAGAGATTATATTCAAATTTTTAAAAAAAATAATATAAAAATATAGACAAAAATTTTTATTTAGTGAACGCATAGTAATCTGATACAGTCATTCTTGATACAAGAAAATGGATTACAAAGAAGCATATAGTATACATTTTTTTTGGTCTTTTTGAGACAGGGTCTCCCTATAGCCCCAGATGTCCTGGAACTCACTATGTAGACCAGGCTGGCCTTGAACTCACAGAGATCCACCTGCCTCTGCCTCCCAAGTGCTGGGATTAAAGGTGTGCGCCATATAGTATACTTAAAAAAAATTCTAAAGTAAAACAATTTTTAGATAGACACTGCCTACACATGTGGTTATGACCTTTATGACTATTATTCTAATTTGTTTCTCATTTTGCTATGACAAAATATGCTGACCAATATTTGGACATCCTCTTCTTGTCCCCACTTTGTAATGCTATTCCCTGCACCCTCTCAATGATACTCCTCCCCTCAGGTGGTGACTCATTCGCTACTAAAAGTCTGTGCAAAACAACCAACCCATCATAAGCCTCCCAGTGCTGCCAAGCTCTGATCTCAGCTTGCTCTACCTGGAAAAGGCAATAAAGGAAAGCACAGCAAGTGGCCCCAAAGGATAACAACCCTTTCACTACCTGGTCCCTCCCTGCTCTCGCCTCACCTCACCACTGGGTCCTTCCCTTCAAGCTTCCATTACTGCTTTCTCAGACCTCCTGTTTGGCACCATTAACTACAGTCTTCGACCTAGAACAGCTTTCCTACCCACAAATTCCATCTTCTTCTTCATGCTTTGACTAATTCTCATCTTCACTCAGAACTACTCCAGGACATGTGTTTCATTAACACACAAATGCGTATATCCACATGTACACATGTATCACTTATGACAGTGCATAACTGCCATATCAATATTGACATGTTTTGTACTGTTTTTCTGTGTCTGTCAGATTATATTCTCCTTGAGGCAGAGATAATTTAAGAGTCAACTTTATATCACCTACATCTAACACAGTGCTTAGCTTATGTGGGTGAAGGAACTAACAACCAATAGCAGAGCAAGCTATCTTCAAGTTCCTAAAGTCCATTTTGTAGGCAGTCACCCCGGTGAAAAGTTCTCACTGTGATCTTTGGTACAGTGTGATCTTCAGTACTTGTAATCAACAGAGATAGCTAGTCAAATGGAGGGAAAGAGAAGGCTTGACAGATCTGCGTAGCCCTGGGGTGGGCAGAAACTGCCTGAGCCTTTGTTTTCTGTTTTGTTTTATTTTTTAAAATGCCATTGGTATCAGGAGAAGGACTAAAACCAGCTGTATGTTCTTTACAATTTTATACGGGATATCTCAGAATTGATGGTGGTACTTAGCACACAGTACCAAATATCTGTTCAAATAAATTGCAAACAAAAATAAAGCACAGATCAGGTATAAATAAATTATTTTCTATTTCAGACAATGACCCCTAATTTAAGAGACAATCCATCCCCACCAACTCCCAAAACATAAGGTTATCTTTGAATCCTTACACATGGCCAGCATTAGCAACAGACTAAATAAACCATATGCTTTTCAAACGTAGGGAAAACTTTCCCTATGTTTCTCTATGTAAACAGAAGATGAGGTCATTAGTATACAAATACATTCATAGATGTTATTTTACTCACAATATTTTATGATTATTTTCTATAGTTATATATAAAAAGTATATAATTATTGGTATATGAGTAACTCCTTGAAAATTTTGGCATTATAAAAAGTATCTTGTGGCCGGGCGTTGTGGTGCACGCCTTTAATCCCAGCACTCGGGAGGCAGAGGCAGGCGGATCTCTGTGAGTTCAAGGCCAGCCTGGTCTACATAGTGAGTTCCAGGACAGCTGGGGCTACAGGGAGACCCTGTCTCAAAAAGACCAAAAAAGAAAAAAAAAAAGTATCTTGTATCAAAAATGACTGAGAATCACCAGCTTGGGGTATGGTACTAAACACTTCAGACAAGGTCTGATGCATGCGGATTCAGTGCCTCAGCATCTACATACATAGGCTGACCTCTCACAGAGATGAATAGTGAAGATACAGAATTCAGTTTCTCCTATATGCATAATAAGAATGTTTACATTTGGAATAATAAAATTTAAGTAACAAGAAAATAAACATATATACATATAGTAAAATTCATAAAAATATGTCAGTTTATCTGATTCTCCCAGACACCTATTAATCTGAACTAGTCCCTTAGCATGATACCCAGGCGCGGGAGCACCTGGGCTGCTTTGCACCTGCGGCCCCACTTCATTTTGTAACAAGTCCCCAAGTTTTAAGGAAGTGGCCTCTCTTTATCAACAACCGATAGAGAAGAATTGATATGAACTCATTAGTAAATTAAGGCAGGTTGATTGCCTGGTCCTCCTTGAATTTGGGGATTTTCTTAAACTCTCTTTGCTTCCTGAAGAAAAGCTGAGCCAAAATGTGGTCTGAGGTGGCCTGGAGATAATCGTCCATGTCAAGAGTTTGCACCTGATAATGTAGAACAAAAGATGCATCAGAAGTGCTCTGATCAGATTCCTGTAGAGATCTAGCAGCTGTCCAAGCCTTGGCAATACCATCTGGTGCTTGGCTGTTTAGCTTTACACAACTATGAAGTCCTGCCCAGGGTCTCTGTGACTGCCAGTCTTCCCTAACCGTGGGATGCTCTCCTTTTTCAGCTCCATGAAGGAAAGTCCGATGGCAAAATGGGCTAAGACCTGACAAGCTTTCTTTAGAAGGAATCAATCTTTCTGAGAAGTTGTTCAGAAAAGTATGTGTACACATTTTCTTGTGAGCAAGAGCTAGTGACAAGAACTCTCAGCGGCTCCACACCTACAGTCACATGATGAGGCAAACCTTACTCCCACTACCTGTGCAGGTGCTGTTCCACAGACACACTGGCTTCTCTCCATTGGGGTGATAATCTCTGCTTTGACATGGGAGGCCTATCCACTTCTAGGGACCAATATGAGGAAACACATTTGCCCATAGATATTAGTCACATTTTCTAATATCTGCTTTATTAGTAATTGAAACAATTACTTGGATCTCTGTACACTGATCCTTTGGTTCAAAGTTTGGGGGGTTACGAAGGAATGTGATATATTAGGTTTAGTTATAAAATGGAGAAATTATTTTATTCTCTTTCTCTCCATGCATTGTTTCATCCAGCTTATTAATCCATCCATTCATTTAATACATATTTACTAAGAGACTCCTTTATCCAGACACATATCCTAGCAGATTACTGACAGGAGTCTCTTTGTACCTGGCTTGCTCTTACCTGATCTCCAGTGCTGAAGGCAAGAACAAAAAGCAAATCTTCATCACATGTGTTCTTAATGTAATGCTGGGTTCCAGTAGGGAAGAACACCACATCTCCAATGTGAATTTCAAATTCTATGGTACTCTGAGCATTAATGATACCCACCTGAGGGGGAAATGATGTTTTAGAACATAAAATCACATATTCATTCAAGATATATGTTAATTGCAAAGAGCAGATGTATAAAAGCTCAAGACTATCCAGGGAGTTCTTAATAAGAATGAAGTGTGAAGGATGAAGTCCTTCTTTCTTTCATCTTAAATCTGTGTCCATGACAGAGCCCCAGAAAAGTCAAAAAATAGCACCCTTATACAAACGTCATGAGCTCAACATACAGAACATCATGCAAAAAAGTCATCTGCCATCATGTTCTAATTAAGGTTACAAATTATGTACCATATCTATCAGAGGGGATTTGTATTCAGTATTTTACCACCTACATTCCCTCATTTCCACAAGACTTCATCCTAACATGCTGAGTCCTCCTTTAAAGAGTTAGAGACTAAATATGGACACAAAAGTACTCCAGCACACACACAAAATCTAATATTTAAAATGTAATTTGTGTAGGATTAGAGTCTTTTTCCAATTTCTTAAAACATTCATGCCTGAAAACAGAGATGACTTTGGTGTAAATGATACAATGAGTGAATTTCATATTGTTTTCGTTATTTCTTCCAAAATGGAGAGAAGTACAGGCCTGTCAAGCCTTTTTTAAAAATAGTATACAAAGCATTAAGTTTCATTTTAGCATTTTCAAACATTGTTTTTGCTCATCCCCCTCACTTCTTTCTTCTCCCCCATCTTCCTCTCCATCCTCTGTGTCCTTCTACCCCAATAGCCTCCTTTCCAAGAAAATCCTTTTCTACCTCTAGAATTCATGAAGATCTAAAGTAATTAAGGTAAAATCCCTATAGTAGCAACACACTGTAAAGCTTGGCATATCTTATGATGACTACATGAGTGATCATCCGAATAAACACTCTCAGAAGAATAAAAGGAGGGTGTTGATAATTTTAGTCAGACAAGGATGCATGAAGAATATCCCAGATAAGCTGAGATAAATGGCTGCCATGCTCATGCTCTATGCCTTCCCAACTGCCCTGATTCACACTATGCCGAGACCCCTTTATTTTCACTCCCCCATACTTTGCATTAGCTGAGGACAGAAAAGTCTGAAAACATAAGCTTGTCCTTCAGATCTCTATCATAAGACATACATCTTTACCACTTCCAAAACAGTCTTAGCCTCTTCTCGTGTACATCGTGAATCTTCCCTTCTCATCGAACTTGAAAACTATCTAAGGAGGTCTGTATGATATCCTCTGTAAAAACAATGTCCAGCAAGCTATTAAGACTGCTTCCTTTTGTTATTAATGACTAGATCAGTATGGATAAATGCCTCCTATTTTTTCCTTTCTGCATTAAAGAAAGTTAAAGATGTTTCCTGAGGACTCACCTTTCCACATCCACTTACTACGTATCCCATCTCATTTGCGTTGAAATGAAAATGTGGCTGTCGTAGTCCATTATTATAAATTCTGAGCGTACTCACAGCGAGGGCATTTTGATGCTTCCAAAACAAAAGGAACAAAAGCCACTTATTTAGTCAACATACTACTCAGCAGCTTAACAGTTCACAAAATCAAAACCACTAAGACTTATTCTGCTCTAAGAACATTTTCTATGTGCTTTATACATATTACATCACTTATTCCTTACAACAGTCTTATAAAGTTGGATCATTCACCCCATTTCACAGGCAATGGAATCAAAATCTAAGTTGGCTGAGGATTTGCATAGGTTCACACAGCCAGGACGTGGCAGGCCAAACTAGAATCTGAACCCCAGGAATCTGATACCACCATTGTGCTATAAAACCAGATGGTCATTTAAAAATAAAGGAAAAAGTCAGTCTCAGAACTATACAATCTTTTCATCAGTGTGACTGTCCACCCAGAGAAGTTGGAAGTCTGCATGGAAGCCTCAAGTAACAAGTTACATAATAAAAATCAAACAACACCTGCTTAGTAGAGTTTTTCTTTTCCTTTTGTCGAAAAGGAGCTTGAATCTGAGCTCAATCTTAAATTGCATCTACCTGAATGTGCTTCAAAAAGGTTTTCCTTAATTACCTGATGCAGAAACTCGTTGAAAATGTTTTCATTTTTGCTCAGCTCACTCCCATTCTTCCAATACTGCGCTCGTTGCATCACTCCTCCTGGGAACCGATATTCTTTAGAACCTGAATCAGATGAAGTTTGAAAAAAATAATTATCAAATACTTCCAAATGGTGCAGCAATGGACATCCAGTAAAATACACAGCTCTTCTACTCTCAGGAAACTTATGTAGCATGAATGGCTGACACCGGGTCATATGGACCTCCACGATAGCAGCCAGGCACAATCAGATTCTATCCCACCTCCCAAACTCCTGAAATTTGTTATATTTTTAATGGATTTTTGTGTATTTCATATACAATACCTTAATCATCTTTCTACCCCCCTTCCCCACTGGCACCCTCTCATACCTCCCCCTACTGGATTTCACATATTCTGTCATTTATGTTAAGGCCTATCGAGTCAAGTTAGTGTCCCCTGATGTCCTCCAGCGCAAGTTCATTCACTGGGGTCTAGTCAGCCTATCTAGAATTTTGTAACAGAGAGTGTCCTGTTTAGGGATTTCCGCTCATGTTGGGGGACCTGGCTGAAAACTTGAGAGGTATCCCAAACACTCTTCTGTACTTCGCCCTTCGAGTCAGTCAACTATCAAGTTTTGCCTGTCCTCTCTCTTTAGATTATTTGCTCCACAGTTTCCTCACAATAGCCATGCTGCCTGTCTCCACCATCCCCTATTTAAGAAATTATGACAGCCCCTTGACTCATCTCTTTTCCTCCCATCTAGCCGATTCCAACTCGTTCCAGGTAAGTCAGTGTGGGCTTCATTTCAAAGAACAAAGCTAACTGTGACACTTTTGATTAAAATTCCCCAGTTGTTTTTCTCTTCCATCAAAGATACAGTCCAAACTCACTAGCATGAGTCCCAAATACTACATGAACGGAACTGCCCCGTCATCAGTCTCTGCTCTTGCAGCATCCCCCAGCTCTGAAACATACCTGTCACACTTTGAAATCCTTTACCACATTCTCTTTTTGACTCTAGGACCCTCCCCACAGTACCTACTCTACTGAAAACTATGGGAGAGATTTATTCTTTGTTTTGTACATTTCTCTTGGCTATGGCCCACCATTAAAAAAATGCACCTAAACACTTACATATACAAAATTTGACTAAAAGTCTTCATACCTTTAAGGTCAAAAAAATATTTCCACACAAGGCTGTCAGGAGACTGTACATAACTGGCATTCATAACCAATTCTGCCAAGTTGGGAGGAAGATTGACTCCCTGATCTTCTTTTTGCTTATGGAATTTTCTAATGAAATTAATTCCACCTTCAGGCTGAAACACACCAGAAATCACATAACATGGCTGTGAAACATTCTCAGACTTTAGTAGCAGAAAGCCACTAAATCAGCAGCACTGGCATCAGGGGGTTTTCATTGGCCCAGGCAAGAGAGCCACGTGTGATATTTATGAATATTTAAATGGTTGGCTTTTGATGGCTAATATAAAATCCTGAAAAAATATTCATTGTGCCCCATACTTACCAATGCTCCCTAAAGAACCATTTATTCTACTTCTCCCTAGAGCACTAGAAAACTGGGGCCCACCGCTAGATAATTTCGAAAGTTACTATGCAAATTTCTAACTTTGCCACATGTGCTAGACAACTTCAGTTGTCAACTTGATACACTTGGGTAGAGGGAATCTCAATTGGGGAATTTCCTCCATTGAACTGGCCTGTGGCCATGTCTGTAGGGTGTTTTCTTGATTTTTAAGTGATGTGGGAAGGCCCAGCCCACTGTGGGCTGTGCTACCCCTGGGCAGGTTGTTCTATATTGTATGAGAAAGCAGGCTGAGCATGGGCCAGGGGAGCAACCAGTAAGCAGCATTCCTCCATGGCCTGTGCTTCAGCTCCTGCCTCTGGGTTCCTGCCCTGAGTTCCTACCTCGGGCTCCCTGACGAACTGTGACCCCTGGGAGATGTAGGGCAAATAAACTCTTTCCTCCCCAAGCTGGAATTGGTCAGAGTGTTTTGTCACAGTAATTGAAGGCAAACTAGAACGCCATAGAACCTTCTCCAGATGAAAATCATGGACCATCACCAGTTCTCCCCTATTAGCACTGTCAGCATCCACACTTGACCTTCTATAACCAACAATATCAGTCCCCACCCATGTGAGAATATAAATTATGGGAGAGATCAAAAGTAATGATTTTAGGGGCTGGAGAGATGTCTCAGTGATTAAGACGCAGGCAGCTCTTGCAGAGGACCTGGGTTCCTGTTCCCAGTACACACTTGGTGGCTAACATTCCATCTGTAATTCCAGTTCCAGGGGATCTGACACCCTCTTCTGACCTCCTGGAACACTGAATGACATGGTATACTTACATACATGCAGGTACTACACTCATACACATTAAATAAACATAATAAAATATTTTTAAAGTAATGATTCTAGTACTAATAGACAGGAGCAAAAAGCGCCACTGTGTTGTTGTAAAGTGGGTGACAAGAGAGAATAATGAGGTAAGGTATGTTTCTAAAGGCTAGAAGAAAAGATTTTTAAAGTTTTCACTATAAAGGATATATGTTTGAGGAGATAGATATATTTAGCCAGATTTAAACATCATATCATGTATACATGCATCAAAACATCTTGGTTTCCCATTAATATTTTTAAAATTTTAAGATTTGTTTTAGAGTGCCAGTCCTTCAGAAAAAGTGAGATTCTCTGTTGAAATATAAGGAAATATGATTCTATTATCTATAGCAAAGCTCTCCTCACAGAAAGGATGAGTGACTCTTTAGGGTTATAAGTTTTAGCAAGTTGTAGCAATTTTCCATTAATTATACCATTATCTTTCTGCCAATCCATTTACAATATCCTGCAGAATATCTTCATAAAGGAAAATAAAAAAGCAACCCAATCTCAACAAGATTTCTCCATTACCAGGAATATAAGAGACATTTTAGAGTCTCTGATTCAAAAATCACCCTAACCATTAGCCAACTTCTAGAAGTGAGATATCACTGGAAACACTGATACTCATGTGTAATACATATCTTCATGGTAAGATGTGATTAGAAACATTACAAACCTTAAGTGACCTGGAAGCAATGTCTTCAGGAGTAGAAAAGAACACATCATCAACATCCAGAGTCTGAAGCTCATCATGTGTAGAAAAGAACAGCAAGAAAAAGCAGTCTTCACTGCCCACGTTCTTTATCCAGTGCAGTGTATTGGTAGGAAAGAAGATCACTTGGCCGGCCGTGACATTGTATGTGGTAGCTACCTCACCACCATCATCGACCACCCCAATCCATGCTGTCCCCTGAAACAGACATACACTTAGAGCACTGTTTCTCAATCTGTTTTAATACCATTCTTCTAACCTTTGTTTTAAAACTTCTTTCCTTCCACTTCCTTACAAAACTTTAATACTACAGATATTATATACAGCGTGCGTGCGTGCATGTGTGTGTGTGTGTGTGTGTGTGTGTGTGTGTGTGTAATATCTTTTGCCCTCCCAAAGAAACAATTTTCCTCCTTCGGGACAATACTGCTCCCCCACTAAGATTCCAGGTTTTTGAAATTAAAAAGACTAAAATAACATGTGCAAGATCTATACATGCTGCTGTTTGTGTATATGCAAGTTGCATGTATTTGTACTTACAGATATGTTTGTGTATTCTAGATAAGAAATAGTCTACATACAATTTTAATAACAGTAACAACATATAACTCATACTTAATACTTTTATTACGTGGTGCCCATCTAAGCACTTTACTTAACTGAAATCAATTACTTCTTATATAACTCCATGAAAAACAATGCTATTATTATTTCTATTTTACAGGTGAAAAAATTGAGTTTGCAGAGAATATATATTTTCTCAAGGCTACTTAGCTGCCAGGGACATATATGGGATTTAGACCAAAGCAATCAAGTGCCAACGCCTACCTTGCTTTAGTCCATACTACAGCATACTTGAATTGTGCTAAAGAGTTTTAATAGGTGAATATGTGAAGACGCTGTTAAGTGATACAACTGAATCCAATTAAAGTCCTGGATGCTTGTGCATCACTTAGTCAAGTATGCTTTGTGACAGCTAAAACAATAGCCTGAGGACATTCAACATTTTCTTCCATTTTCTACTCCGTTCACGAATATTACCCTGTGAGATAGTGAGCATACCCACCTGAAGTTCAGATGATTCAATTCCTGTCTCCTCCTATATTCCAGACACCAAGGAGCAGCAGTGACTAAGCCCTCCCACAACTTTCACATATCAGAAGTTTTGTCTAACCCTAGTAATCTGGTTAATGGATGTACAGTCAGTGTTTTTGGTGTGTTTTCTATTATTGTTGTCTGCAAGACTTCCTCTTAAATGTAGACAATTTATTTGACTTTACAAGAGGAGAGGTTAGATTTTCAAATACATGAAAGCAAACACATTATTTTCCATCTAAGACTTGACAAGATAGGGCGATTTTTAAAGATATGCCCTAGTGTTGGCTAGATTGGAATAAAGTCTAGGTTTTATGGTTTCTTGAGTTCTTCCACATCTATAAAATATGTAAAGGAAAATTTTCCAAAAGATTAATTTTCCTGGGGCTGGGAGATGGCTCAGCAGTTAAGAGCACTGACTGCTCTTGCAAAAGACCTGGGTTCAATTCCCAGCACTTACATGGCGACTGCAAACCATCCTTAACTCCAGTTCCAGGGGAATCCAAAGCCCTCTTCTGACCTCCGTGGCATTGCATGGCACAGGTACACTCACATGCAGGCAATACACTCATACACATAAAAATAAATAAAATATTTTTTTAAAAAAGGTTAATTTTTCTACTCTTGGCTGAACCACAGCAGAACAATAGGAGAAATAAACTGCCGATGAATAGATTGTATTGGAAGGGATCCCTCAAACACTCCACACTAGGGAAGTTGGTCTGCAGCATGTTCCAGTGGAGAGAAGGCCCCAGGATCCACTCAGCCTGGGACAGATGTTCTAGAAGTCCAGGGAGAGTTTATAACATGAACTTCTAAATGTGGACTGTACCTACTTGGGTATTCTTGAGACCTTAGGAAAACTGTGAGATCACTGACTCTATCACTAGGGCTAACAAGGAGGAGAAGGGAGGACCCATACCACGTAGATCTCTGGAGACTGTGGCTTCTCTAGCTATGCCTAGTCCACTTGAATTGAGAATCTTCTAAAACATCTAAACCATAAAAGCTCATCCAATGGCCTGATGTATTCCAATTACTAAGAGGAAAGCTGATCTCTGTGATCATTAGATCACATCTACTATTTTACCTTTGTCTTGGAGGACTAACAGTGATCTTATTTTAAGCCTTTTTTTAAAAAATAACGTCATACTCAAGAAAGAAGTTCAAAGTGATGACAACTAATTTAAACAAACAGGTTAATACTCAAAGATAATGCTAACTAATCTGAATGAAAGCATGAATATTTTCCCATTACTCAATTAAGTAAGATATGTGAAAAACTAAGACACAAGCTAGACACAAGAGCAGAAAGGGCATACTGGTTATACCTGCACGAGGTAGCCATGCTCGTTGGCATTGAAGTGCCAGTGAGGGGCCCGGAGGCCCTTGCTTTTTATTCTCAGTGTCCCCAGAGTCATCTGGGACCTCAGACTGTTCAAGCTGGTGCCAAACGCCTCTTCTTCATCGCTGAGATAGTCTTTGATATTGTTCCTGTACCTCGCCCACTGGATTGCACCACCAGGGAATTCAAACACCTAAAATGTCATAAGCAAACAGCCATCAGCATGGTGCTCATCTTGTATTTTTCTGTCCATGATGAATATGAGCCCAGCATGGCCCACAGAGTAAGGAGGTGAGAATAGAAAAGTGGGGTGATGTGAATTTTTGAAGTTCCCCAAAGGAATAGCACTCCTGCAAGAGTCTAGGAATTATAACAGTCATATATATTTTTTTTTAAATGCCTAACTTGGCAAGAAAATGAAGAATTTTTTTTTAAGACGAGGTCTCCCTGAAGCCCCATCTGGCCTGGAACCCAGTCATAGATAGCAACCTGGCAATTCTCTTTTCCAGCTAGACATGGAATGGTCTACTGAAAATGTCTGCCTGGGGCTAACATCAGCCCACCCTCCAGACCTCCACTTTCACCTCCTTTCATCCTGCAGGTCCTTCCCACAGAGAACACAATTTAATAACATGAAATTAACAGAGTTTTGAAATCATCACTTAGAAAATAGTTTTC